CAATTGATACTCTGTTGCGGCCTTCATTTTTGATACCCTGCTTTTCTATATTTGCTACTTTATTTTGTGAAAGTATATGACCTATTTTCACGGGTCTAATGGTATAACCAGCCGCTGGGTCAGGTTCTGCGCGGGTTAAATGGATAACGAAAGGTCCTTTATCGCTATCTACGTACTTTTTTTTCCTGGAAATCAGGGTGAACATACACATTTTGTCGTAAGGAGGATGGGTTAACGTCTTGTTCATTTTTTTTCCTGGGAATGTTATTAATTAATGAGTCCGCAGGTTTTCGTTTGGCAACGCCAGAATTCCCAGATTTATCCGGGGGTTCTGGTTCCCTTCCATCTACATCCATCATTACCACACTATTCTACATACACTATATTAATATTTCTACTACTCACCGGTTAATTAGGACAATACGAACAAAACAATCACAGACAACACAAAAAAAATTGTAAAGCCTTGCACAAAATAGCCAAAAAGTAATCAATAATCTAGATAACGTAAAAACACGTGTGACAACCAATCACTCTGACAGCAGAATCTCCAACCGTGGTCACGGGGGACTGAGGTGATTGACGTCCCGATGTCAAAGTTAACCCAGAGTACCTTCAGCTTTTTAATTATTAATTTTAGTTAATTCTGCGTAGATCGGACCAAAATTAATAATTAAAAAGCTGAAGGTACTCCGGGTTAACTTTGACATCGGGACGTCAATCACCTCAGTCCCCCGTGACCACGGTTGCTGGAAAGCAACCGAAACGTCGGGAATATAAAATAAGTTAATTAAACGCGATAAAATCCGTAAAAATAGTTTTATTCAAAGCTTTCTTCTTATTTTAGATTGGACTACATAATATGTAATTCACGTAACAATTTACGTGTTTTTATAATACGCGACAACTACAGGTTTAAGAAATAGTCCCGTTACACTTATTTTTTTTTTCAACACATTTTTTTTCAACATTGGTTGTAATTGCCATACAAAAATAGAATAGTCTCTTAAGGAGTGCGGTTGTACTTGCGTGTTCAAATTCAAACCTAATTAATAGCGGATGAAGGTTGAAATTATTTAAAAAAAAAAACAAATAATCTCGTGGGAGTGTGGTTGTCACATTGCGATTATCACAACGAGTTTTATAAAATATTACGTTCTCGATTACCAAATCGGTAAAGTTCTCGATTATTATTTATAATTTTTTTTTATAGGATAAGGGTGACAAACGAGCACACAGTCCACCTGATGGTAAGTGGTTGCTACGGCCCATAGACATCTACATCTATCCTCGTTTGCGAATCGAAATGCAGATGCGTTGTCACCCGTGAGGACTAAGATGGAATGCCTCATTTCCAGTAAAAAGGGCCTCCGGCCACCTGCACTCACCAAGCGAAACACAGAGGTGAACCTCAACTTCACGCTGGTATTCTGTGAGGTCGTGGTACCACCCCGGTTCGAGCCGGCCCATCCGTGCGACAGCAAAAGCTAGTAGAATTAGGTACTATAGAAGCTTACGCATAAAGATATCCGCTAAGGGCAATGATGGCCGGTTTTGACGGGAATCTGATCGGCGGCGGATTGCTGCTTCTGTATTATTGTTGAAATAGTGGTTCGAAATGGATTTTATATGTAAAAGTGGTGCGATTTTTGTAGTGGAAACAGTGAAACAAGTGCTCCGATGGTGATGTGAATCTCAAGATAAAGTCTGTCTGCTTGGGCGCCTTGAAATACTATCTTAAGCCTCCCAAATTCTACACAATGTGATGCATCAACATATTGTGAAACAGTGTACTATAAAGTGAGGTGAGACATGCAGGAAGTCGATGGATGAAGGTGGCTCAGGACCGTGCTTTGTGGCATTCCTTGGGGGAGGCCTATGTTCAGCAGTGGATTTGTGAAAGGCTGTAATGATGATAATGATGATAATCCGTAGCAGTAATAGTGTTCTGTGTTGATAATCTTAAAATCTTACTAGCATATATATACAGGATGTCCCAGTAATGGTGGATAATCTGATACGTACGTGTTTGGGCGGGGGGGAGGTGGCCTCGGTTCCCTAAAAAAAAATTCTATCCCGAACGGTTCGCGCTCTACGCCATGTTTTATAAAATTCCGAAAATTCGTACTTCTGCTCACATTTGTGGTCATCACGTACGCAGTTTAATGCCTAGATCGGATTTTTTTCTTTTAATGTGTTCCCTAATAATGATGTTTCTAAACTATCCTTAAAAGTTTTCAACTACTATGGGTAGTATTTTACAAGACGGCACTAAACATAAGTTTAAATTTTTTACTTTATTTAATTGCTAAGTTTGAGCACCTGTGGTGAAAAAAAACGTATAGGATCTGTGTGGCCAACCATTTAAAATTTTGCCTATATCATAAGGATTCTAAAATATTAACATACCATGTACTTAATGTTATTACTTACTGAGCTATAGCCGTTAATGTGTAAAAGTAGGCAGTTCATTACAAAATTACAAAATTATTGGCAGATAGTTTTTTTAAACATAGCATGTCTTTATTAGGTAAGTACATTTGACGCCCTTGAAAATTTTACTTTACTACCTGCTCGCCTTGTTTGGAGTTTTAATCTGTGTGAGCGAGACAAACGGTGCTTAGGATTAATGTGAGTAAAAAGGATCGACAGATTCTCCATTGTATGAACTCGTGTTTGGAATTCGTATTTGGTTATTGTTAAATATGGTTAGTGCGTATCTCGACCTTCTCGACAACGCACGTGCAGTCGAATTGAGTACCGTCTCCTTTTTGGAAATCGGCAGAAAAATTCGTCTATTTCGATGCGAGATATCGAACAACGCACTGGAGTAGCGCACATTACAGCAAATCGGATTGTCAAAAACTGGAGACTTCACCCTTATCATGTTACACGTGTGCAAACTCTTCAACAACGTGACTACCGAGCCCGAGTTACTTTTTGCAGAGAAATGCTGAGGTAAATTTTTTTTAAGACGATGTAGACTATGTATCGAAGATAATGGCCGCCATTTCGAAAATTTACTTTAAATAAATTTATCTTAAATTATTTACTAGTTTTATTATAAATCTTGAAATCATTTGTCCAGAACGTAGTAAAATGATACCTTGTTGTCAATAAATTTTAAACATGACACTGGATATTATTTTTGCTAACCTGAAGCATTTACTATCTTAGTGTAGCCCTAGAAATGATAAAAAGATTTTTAAAATCAAATTAACTATTCAGGTAGTTTCCTGCCTGAGTACCTTCAGAAGTCTGTAACAGAAAAACTGGCCTATTAAGTGTCATTTTTTTAAATGTTATTATGAAAGATTAAGGTACTGCCAAGTTTTTAAAAGTAATTAGAAAGTATGAAATCATTTATTACTATTTTTCATTTAATGTTGAAAATTCAAGCCCCACTCTCCTGACAGAAAATTTTTAAGTTTCGCTTAAAATTATTGTATTTTCGGTGAATGTTAGGAAGCTAATTATTTTATGCATAATAGGGCAACTCATAAGGATCATGCTACACACAAAAAATCTTGGAAAAAATCTCACAATTACATTTTTTTAATGTTAGGCTGTTTAGGCTGAACATTTTCAAAAAAAGGATAAAAAAATCATAACTCGAAAACTACAAAAAATCGCGAAACATTGATAGGGTATTTTCGGATACCCCTAGGTGTGAGGAATCAAAAAAAATTTTATAACCTCACTGTTTGGACCAACCTGTATGTATATATAAAGTTGATAATCTTAAAACGAGTATTCGTAAACACGAGTTAATGGTTAATATTTCAATCAGTCATAGAAGAGACGTACTTTACTTTGTTATCGCATTAGATTTCGTAGTGACAATATCTGGTTAGCGATATTTTGTTAACGATGTTTTGTGGACGATAGTAATTATTGGTGATGATGATGAAGCGAAAATTTGAAAGGCCGTATATAGCGGAGTGGAGTAAGGTCCTTTACTTTCATCGTGGATCTTCAAAGCTAAAGATAATCAGATCCAAATTGGCATCCCGTCTGTCTGCTTTAAAGGAGCATGCCGCTGCTAGTAAACATAAAAAAAAACATCCGTGAGTGTCGTGGAAAACTCGATTGGAACGAAGTTTATTTCGTAGTGTATTATTATTGATAAACGTATTTTATTATTGATTAACAAATACAAATAAATGAATTATTAGCGTCTAAAAATTAAGCGTCATTTAAAATAAAATAATATTTCTTTCATGGTAAAATAATAGAAAGTGCCAAGGAGATGGATATTATTTCATCTCTCTTTCTCGAAAGGTCGTCTACACTACGTCAGGAGGGGTCGTGAGGACGTGACTGAAAAGATCTTACACTTTTTCTCGCCTAATTCCCATCCGCCAAATTCATACTGTCCGATAAGGAACTTCGTTCTAAAAATATGTTTGGATTCAACATGCGAAAGAATATTCTGTCTAATAAATCTAATTAAGACAAAAACACGAAACAGATTTAGATATAAACAAACATGTAGCGTCTATCTTGCACGTTAAACAAGGCATTGGTGAGCATGGCGATTGCATTGCATTCTAACCAACAAAAGATGTTTAATTTTATTTTAATAAGAATATAGCATTTAAATGTGTATTTTTACTTTTCTTACTTTAATACAATTAGACAATGTTAAAAAAAGGTGGCAGTATTTAAGCATTTTTCACTACAGACTCTGGCAGGATTTGGTAGGTTTTTAACCAAAGTAAGGCAGGATCTGTATTCTAAAGATGGTCACACTGTTCACGGTTCAAAAAAAATTAAAATGGAGTTGCTGTCAGTGTCAGTTGTGTCAACCATAGACTAATATATAATACTGGAACGAAAACGACGCTTATTTTGATTTTTTGATTTTATTTGAGTGTATTAGTTAATAGTGTTCTGTGGTATTAGTTAGCATTGCAGTTATAATCAACAAAATATTCCGCGAAGGAAAAATTAAAGTTTAATGAGTTTTTGCATGTTTGTGACTGTTAAACCTAAATAAAATGTCTGGTCGAGGAAAAAAACCCGGCGCGCCAAAAAAGAAAGCTAATGGTTATAAAATGCCAGCACCTATTCCAGTCGGGGAAGTGATTCACGATACAATTACTAAAAAGAAATGGCGAATAGGCCCTTCTATTGGTGTCGGCGGATTTGGCGAAATTTATTCTGCATGCGACCATGAGGGTTCGCCTAAAAATGGAAATTATCCGTTTGTGGTAAAAATTGTGAGTCTCACCCTTTTAGATTTAATAGCTTAAGGTCTATGAATTTACATTAACAGTCACCATATTCTTTCTTCTCTATCGGGTTGTAAGATCACTACATGTCATGCCTTTGGTGCCCTCCTATTATAGGTAGGATTTGCCTTTCACGCTTGGCAGGCAAATTGACGCGCCTTGGACGTTATTTCCCGTCGCCTATGTCGCTGTATAGGGTTCCGTACCCAAATGGTAACCAATGGGATCCTATTACTAAGCCTCCGCTTTCCATCTGTCTGTCTGCCAGTGGCCTGTATCTCATGATCCGCAATAGGTAGACCGATAAAATTTTCACAGAATGTGTATTTCTTGTTCTTACTGCTATAACCACTATAACAAATGAGAATAAATTAAAAATTAAACGGCCCTACTAGAAATGTGTTTACGATGGTAAGGAACGCTTTAAGCGCAAGTCACACTTGCATTTGTCCGGAATTTTTTATTTTACATCTGACGCAAAAGTGATTTTTATGTTGCTTTTTCTATCGCAAGCCTAAAGATTTACAAAACTCACAGTATGAAATACGGTGATGCAATCTCATACATTGCCCTAACACACCAATCACATGTTAATAGTTGAGATAACCCTGTTAATAAAACTTAAGTAAACCCTTAAAGGAGACTCACCAGATAAAATGAAATTTCGGCTTTTAAGTTTCTAGAATAGTTCAGAAAATAATCACTTCTTTTGGGTAAGAGTTCTCACTAAGTAATTTTAAATTTGAAAACTTATAAATGTCTTTGTAATGCAATGTCAACAATAAAGGTGCACACATTAGTCCGTAACTACTTTCAATACAAATGTAATAATGTGTACACTGCTGTGTCCTATGAATAAATAAATAGATAAAGAAATGCCAATTACAAATATAGAAATTTAAAAAAAGTTAAGTATTCTTTATATAATATATAAAGAATATAGTTTCTTATAACTTAACGCAGTAACCGTAATTTGTTAAAGTACACTTACAACATACATGGTTAACTAGATTAATAGCTGATATAAAAAAATGTTTTGTAATATATTTAAAAGTAATAATAAATATAAAATAATGTTTTAAATTTATATTAACAAAAAGTACATAATTTTTTGAAATATATTATTACTTTTTTTTCTGTAAAGTATAAAATTATTTTTTAAGTTAATATTACTAATTTTTAAATTAATATTTAATACTTTTGTTAGTGTAAATTTAAAACATCATTTCATATTAAAAGAAAAGAGGAAAAAATCGACACTAATATATCATTTTTCTTACACACAGGAACCACATGAAAATGGCCCACTCTTTGTGGAAAAACATTTTTACATTAGAAATGCTAACAAGGAGGATAGTAAGTTGATTTTTTTTTTCTTGAATGATAAAAAGATTTTTTACATTAACTACTAATTTTATTTTCATATAATTTTAGTTGCAAAATTCATGAAGACTAAAAAATTGTCCACCTTTGGCATGCCTTCCTATTATGGCAACGGGTCACACGATTTCAAAGGAGAGAAATACAGATATCTTGTGCTAGAGAGGTACGGGAAAGACCTATGGAGTTTGTTCAAAGAGTGTGGACGGTCTTTTCCTGCTGCAACTGTCTTCCAAATAGGTTTACAAATGGTAAGGGATTCTTCATTTTAAATATTGAGTGATATTTAAGCAATCTGGCTTATATCTAGGGTTAATTAAACCATTGACGTCCCAATGTCAGAGTTAACCAGGACTATCTTCAGCTTTTTTAATTATTAATTTTGGTCTGATCTACGCAGAATGAACTTACTGTGTCTTGAAGTGTGATGGAGCGAATTTTATAGAGAAATGTATGCGTGTGATGATCTTAGTGAGGGATCCGGGGGTGACGCCGTGACTGGTACGCCAGACCCGGACCTCGATGACACTGAGGTCATCAGTATGAAAGAGATTGAACGTGCGATTCAAAGTTTGGCAAAAGTTTTAAAAGGCAAGGCGTAGTGAAGAGTGCACGCCTTGCAATACATAACGCAGTGTTGGTACCGACTTTGTTATATGGCAGCGAAACCTGGGTATGCCAGAAGAAGCACAAAAGCAAGTTGAATGCAGTGGAGATGCGATCTCTTCGTAAAATGTGCGGCGTTACCATGGCCGACCGAAAGCGAAACGAAGAGATTCGCAATATGGCAGGTTTGAAAGATGACCTTATCACAAAAATTGATAAGGGCGTGCTTCGATGGTTTAGGCATGTTGAGCGAATGAGTGACGACCGAATGGTGAAGAAAATATATAGCGCGAAAGTTAATATTAAAAGGTGTCGAGGTAGACCGAGGCTAACTTTCGAAGACCATGTGAGCAAATTGCTCGAAGAGGGGAGGGTCAAGAGTACTCGGATACCTAGACGTGCATGTATGAAGAAGATAATGAATCTGAAAGAAGTGAAAGAGGTATGTAAGGATCGTGACACTTGGTGATCTGTTCTCTCTGGCTACCCCGTCAGGGATTGTGCGTGAAGATAAGTAAGTAAGTAAGTAAGTGTCTTGAAGTCTTGCAGTGGTATGCTTGGGTTTAGTTTTAATTTTAATAATTACAGCATCCCAAGCAGGTGGTAGTACCCAGCCTCCCTCTCTATTGAAATTAGGATGTTTTTTAATTTCAATAGCCTCACGTATCATCCTTGGCTGGAATCGATGTTCTTATAATTATATTATATATTAATTAATAGAATCAGGCGTTACTTTGCGGAAATCCATTATATAAAAGCTTTTAGAAAAATTACTTTGCAAATATCCACGTTATAAAATAAAATTATGTGTCTTACCTAGTATGAGAGCACCTCCCGCCCTCCCTCAATTGCGTGCTCTATCCCCGTCACCACTAATCCCAGCACCGCTACTCCCAACACCACTACACTAGGCAAGACACACCACTGACGATAATACGACACGTGTTTCGCCTCTACACGTGGCATCCTCAGGTGATATAGACTACGGTGGCTAATCGCTAAGCTTAGCTTATTATTATTATTATCTGGTAATAGGCGAGCAGCTTATAGCTGATATGTCTATATCTATGTTGGTGTTTTATATTAGTCCAAGTTCACACTAAGAATACACTAAATTGGATTGTCTTTACACCATTTGTCCAGTTTGTTTTTAAAACTAATCACAGAGGGAGCATCTACCAAGTCTTGAGGCAACTTGTTCCATATATACATAATTCTGTTGTTTAGTGTGTGATGTCCCACATTAGTGTATGAGCGGGTGTGGGCCAATCTCATATTATTAGGATGTCTAGGTCGGTGGATACTGCTGATGTTAAAAATATGTGGCAGCTCTGCAATTATATTTATGTGTCAATATTTTGTAGGTCTCAATAAGGTCTCCTCTGGTGTGGCGAGATTTCAGCGTTGTTAGATTCAATATTTTTAATCTCTCTTCGTATGGCTTTTTGCGTAGGCATAATGGAATTTTTATGGCTTTTCTTTGTACACTCTCCAGAAAATCTACATCCTTAAGAAAATAGGGGGTTCCAAATTTGAAATCCATACTCTATCAGCGGTCGGACGTATGTTTTATAAACCTTGAGCAATGTATCTGGAGTCAGATGTTGAAACGATCGTCTGATTGCATACAAAATGCTGTTTGCCTTTTTGACAATACTATGGATATGGTCAGCCCACTTGAGGTCGGATGATATTAAGATTATACCGGCGTGAAGTGGAAGCTCTGCTTCCGCGTTTCGTCTGGTGAGTGCAGGTGACCAGAGGCCCAATTCCCCCCCCCCCATCAACATGGTAGCGGAATTACGTCATAAACTACCCCAGGAGGATACCAGTACCCCTGGAGAATCCCTCGCTGAGCATCCACGACCATGCTATTCCACTCCTGAGCGTGGGTGCTCAGTTTGCCCCGCGTATTCTGGGGGGGGGGGGGGGCAAAATTCCGCTCAACACAATAACTGCTCGGGGCAAACTGAGCAACAAGACCAAGGCGACCCCTGCCACGCTATCCGTGAATTTCTGCAACATCAGGGGACTTCACTCGAACCTAAACGCCGTCCACTACCATCTTGAGACGGCGAAGCCGGCCTTGCTCTTTCTGACCGAGACACAGGTGTCCTCTCCGGCTGATACTTCGTATCTCTCCTACCCGGGGTACAAATTGGAGCACTCCTTTGTGCCTCGGGCTGGAGTTTGCGTGTATGTCAGAGAGGACATCTGTTCTCGACGCCTCGGCAGTCTTGAAGGTTCGGACCTGTCCATCCTTTGGCTACGCGTAGACAGTGACGACCATCCGCGCGTCTACGTGTGCCTCTATAGGTCCCATAGCGGTAATGCCGAAACAGACCGACTCATCGACCACGTCCAAATGGCTACAGATTCCTTGCTACAACAGGTCCCATCCGCAGAGATCGTGATCCTTGGCGATTTTAACGCCCACCACGCCGAATGGCTCGGTTCACGTTTAACCGATCATGCGGGGAGATCTGTTTATGACTTTGCCTTGGCATATGGTCTGACACAACTGGTTACATCGCCTACGCGGATGCCAGATGTTGAGGATCATACACCTTCCCTGTCGGACCTTCTGCTGACCTCTCATCCGGACGGATATCAGGTTTCCGTCGATGCCCCTCTTGGCTCTTCGGACCATTGTCTGATCCGGAGTGTGGTGCCACTCACGCTCCCCTCGCGGTTGCGTTCTGCAGGTTGCCGCCGTGTTTGGCATTACAGGTCGGCGGATTGGGACGGAATGCGGTCTTTCTTTGCTTCCTACCCATGGGGGCGGGTTTGCTTCTCGCCGGACGATCCCAGCGCTGTTGCTGACTCTGTCACTGATGTGGTGCTACAGGGAATGGAAGTATTTATTCCATCATCTGTGGTACCCATCGGAGGCAGATCTCAGCCTTGGTTTGGTCGCTCCTGTAAGACTGCATTACGCAGTAAGCAGGAGTGTTATCAAGCCTGGGCTGCGGTTTCGGTGACTCGGGTTGTAAACACAAGCACGCTCAAAAAGAAGTATAACTTCGCCTCCAGGTCCTTCAAAAGAGTTATTGCCAAGGCAAAGTCAGAGCACATAGGCAGAATTGGCGAGAAACTAGTACGCCTTCCTTCGGGAACCCGTGCATTCTGGTCTCTCGCCAAGGCTGTCCAAGGGAATTTCTGTAAGCCATCACTACCATCTCTGCACAGGGAGGACGACTCACTGGCCCACGACGCAAAAGAGAAGGCCGACCTTTTAGGCTCCCTTTTTGCGTCCAACTCGACTGTTGATGACGGGGGGAACACACCGCCGACCATCCCGTGGTGTGAGTGCTCCATGCCGGATGTGCGGTTCTCACAGCGCTCGGTTCGCAGAGCACTCCTCTCCCTTGACATCCACAAGTCGAGTGGGCCTGACGGAATCCCCCCAATTGTGCTGAGGACGTGTGCTCCGGAGTTGGCACCGGTTCTTACGCGTCTTTTCCGGTACTCCTACTCCCTAGGCGTAGTCCCGAAATCATGGAAGACAGCTTTTGTCCACCCGATCCCTAAAAAAGGCGACCGCTCAGACCCGTCCAACTACAGGCCTATCGCCATCACCCCCTTGTTCTCCAAAATAATGGAATCCGTTGTAAACTGCCACCTCATGCGGTACCTTGAGGATCACCAGCTGATTAGTGACCGCCAGTACGGTTTTCGTCGGGGTCGATCAGCTGGTGATCTTCTGGTCTACTTAACTCATAGATGGGCGTTGGCAGTAGAGTCCAAGGGGGAGGCATTGGCCGTTAGTTTGGACATTGCGAAGGCCTTCGATCGGGTTTGGCACAAAGCGCTTCTTTCGAAGCTCCCTTCCTATGGGCTTCCCGAGAAATTATGCAATTGGATCACCAGCTTTCTTGCAGATCGGAGCATCAAGGTCGTTGTAGACGGTGCATGCTCCGACTACAAGCCTATTAACGCTGGTGTTCCACAAGGCTGCGTGCTATCACCAACGCTGTTTCTTCTGCATATCAATGATATGTTGCAAGCCGGTAGCATTCATTGCTATGCGGATGACAGCACTGGTGATGCTCTCTACACCGGCCGTGCCAATATTTCTCGGGAAAACGTCACCGAGTACCGGAACAAACTTGTGTCTGAAGTCGAGTCTTTGCTGGAGAAAGTCTCGGATTGGGGGCGACTAAATCTAGTCCAGTTTAATCCTCAGAAGACACAAGTTTGCGCGTTTACCGCTAAAAAGAACCCCTTTGTCGTATCTCCTCAGTTTCAAGGTACTCCCCTTGTTGCCTCACCCAGTATCGGAATCCTTGGCGTCGACATATCGAGTAGCGTGGAGTTTCGTGGTCACTTGAAAGAAAAGGCCAAATTGGCCTCTAAAAAGCTTGGCGTGCTCAGCAGAGCGGGACAGTATTTCATGCCGGCTCAACGCCTGCAACTTTACAAGGCGCAGGTTCGGCCTCACATGGAATACTGTTCCCATCTCTGGGCTGGGGCTCCCCAGTGCCAGCTTCTTCCACTTGACCGCATCCAGCGCAGAGCGGCTCGAATCGTCGACGACCGAGTCCTTTCCGATCGGCTCGACTCATTGGCACTGCGAAGAGATGTTGCATCTCTTAGCATTTTCTTTCGCATTTACCATGGGGAGTGCTCTGAGGAATTGTTCGGA